CCCTCCTTTAATTCTCCCCTTCACAGATAGCCAGCCTAGCAAGTTTCAGCAGTGTGCCTGCCACGTGCCCGTGGTCTGTAACAGCGAAAAGCACGGCGCATCAGCTGTTTCTGTATTCATAAAACTTCTTTTGCAGTTACTTTTATTCAGGCTCAACCAAGGAGGTTCTAGTTTGATGTAAGGTCGTCCTCGGACACAACTCAACTTGGAAGTTATACAGTGTGCTCACGAGCCGCTTATAAAATGACCATTTGTACGTAGTTGTTCTCATTATTGCCGTTTATCTGTCTTTGATCTGGGAGGTGTCACTTGGCACGACAAAGTGTTACAGATTTGAAATAAAGGAACAAAAATTCCAATCTCAAAATCCCTCCCCCCCCCCCTTGTGCTTTTAGAAATAATTTAATATCATGTGTCCAAGAGGACCACTTGTCTAAGCAGATCCCCCCCCCCCCCCCCAGCTGTCAAGAGAACTCTGCTCCGAGCGGAGACCGTCACAGTACCAGAACTTGTAGCATCATGCGTTTTTGTTTTAGCAAGAGTTTTAAGGCACTTGCACCACAATAAGGTCATATAAGTGCCGAAGATGAGATTGTTTATGCTTCTAGAGAGTAACATACAAGGAAAATAAACGGAGGAGGGATGAGAACGAGGAAAGAAGGCGCAAACCACACTCGAGCACCCACCAATCACCCACTACACAATATAGATCTACACGGTGTGTATAAAGTGGACTAAAATGTTTGCTCTCGACCATTGTCCCCTGTCCTAAGCTTATTATTTATTCTGGGGTTCTGGTCTAAATAATTATGAATGATACAACGTGTCTACAAAGCCTACCAGTATGTATTCCTCTTTCTTACTGTCTACCAGATGGAACAGTGGTTGGTTGGCGGGTGATCTGGTGTGGTTTTGCCCCCTCTTTCCTGTCAAACATGACAATGTTTCGTCCTTATCTCTCCTATTTTTGTGTGATTGTTTTGGCTGAAATGATCTTATTGTGTTGTAAGTGCCGTAAAACTCATAAAAAAGCAAAATAACATGGGGAACCAAACCAAGCAACCTTCAGAGAGCTTTTTTTAAAAACAGAAGACTTGACCAGCCATCATCATACCCACCCTAGATTCATTCCCACCCCGTATCTCCATCTATATTTTAGCTTATATCATTTATTATAATGCAGTCTAGCCCGCAGAGCGGCCTAAAAACAAAACAAAACAAACAAAAAACCAAACCAAAACAAACAAATACAAGTCCGGGCAAGCTACCAACCCAAGTTACACGGCAAAAGCACACACACGTACACACACTCTTCGCCTAGTGTGCTTCACACACGGACAACTTCCTCCTCCCTCTTTCTACCTCCTCTTCCTCCTCCTCTCTTCCTCCACCTCCACCGCCGCCCCTTCTCTTTCTCTCCACAGCCCGCACCTCACACCACCAACGTTTGTGGGGCGTAGTGTTAGTCATGTATGCCTATCCGCTCCCTCTCTCTCTCTCTCTCTCTCTCTCTCTCTCTCTCTCTCTCTCTCTCTCTCTCC